TTTGAAAGTGTTTTTGTATATTCTGAGTAAACAGCCAGTAGTGCCATTGCTGGATCATCGGGTAGACCTATTTTTAGCTTTCTGAGGAACTTCCATACTGTTTTCCACAGTGGTTGCACTAGTTTGCATTCCTACCAACAGTGCAAGAGGGTTCCTTCTTCTCCACATCCCGTCAACACCAATTGCTTCTTGTGTTGTTGATTTTAACCGTTCTGACAGGTGTGAGGTAATATCACATTGTTGTTTTGATATGCATTTCCCTGATGGTAAGTGATAATGAGCATCTTTTCATGTGTCTGTTGGCCATCAGTATGTCTTCATTGGAGAAAGGGCTATTCATGTCTTCTGCCCATTTTTAATTGGATTTATTTTAGGGTATTGAGTTTTATAAGTTCTTTATATATTTTGGATACTAACCCTATCAGCTATATCACTTGTAAATACTTTCTTGCATTCCTTAGGTTGCCTTTAGTTTTGTTGATCATTTCTTTTACTGTGTAGAAGCTTCTTATTTTGATGCAGTTCCAATAGTTTATTTTTTCTTTTGTTTCCCTTACCTCAGGAGACAAATCTAGAAAAAAGTTGCTATGGCCAAAGTCAAAGAGGTTACTGCCTGTGTTCTCTTCTAGGATTTTTGTGGTTTCAGTTCTTACATTGTATCCATTTTGAGTTTATTTTTTTATATGGTGTAAGAAAATGGTCCAGTTTCATTCTTTTGAATGTTGTCCAGTTTTCTCAATACCATTTGTTGAAGAGATTGTCTTTTTCCCATTGGATATTCTTTCCTGCTTTGTTGAAGATTAGTTGGCCATATGTTTGTGGGTCCATTTCTGGGTTTTCTATTCTGTTCCACTGATCTATGTGTCTGTTTTCATGCCAGTGCCAAACTGTTTTGATCACTACAGTTTTGTTATGATGCCTACATCTTTGCTTTTCTTTTTCAAGGTTGGTTTGGCTATTTGGGGTCTTTTGTGGTTGCATATGAATTACAGGATTGGTTGTTCTAGATCTGTGAAAAATGCTGTTAATATTTTGATAGGGATTGCATTAAATGTGTAGACTGCTTTGGGTGGTGTAGACATTTTAACAACATTTGTTCTTCCAATCCATGACCATGGAATATCTTTCCATTTTTTTTTTGTTGTTGTTGTTGTTGTTGTTGTTGTTGCCTTTAATTTCTTTCATCTGTGTTTTACAGTTTTCAGAGTACAGGTCTTTCCACTCTTTGGTTAGGTTTATTCCTAGGTATAAAATGATTTTTGGTGCAATTGTAAATAGGATTGATTCCTTGATTTCCCCTTCTGCTGCCTCAGTATTAGTGTATAAATGTAACAGATTTCTGTACATTGCTTTGTATCCTGTGACTTTACTGCATTCATTTATCAATTCTAATAGTTTCTTGGTGGAGTATTTTGGGTTTTCTCCATATATATATGTAGTGTCATGTCATGTGCAAATAGTGAAAATCTTAACTTCTTTACTGATTTAGATGCCTTTTATTTCTTTTTTTAATCTTTAGGTCTTTATTTTTTGTACTTTTTTATTGAGGCATAACTGACATACATTTTATTAGTTTCAGCAGTACAACATAATGATTATATAACTGTATATATTATGAAATGATCACCACAATATCTAGGTAACATCATCATCACATATAGTTACAGAATTTCTTTTCTTGTGATGAGAACTTTTAAGACACACTCTCAGCAACTTTCCAATATGCAATACAATATTATTAACTATAGTCACCATGTTGTACATTATATCTCCATGACATTTATTTTATAAATGGAAGTTTTGACTCCCTTTACCTATTCTTCCTACTCTTCACCCTCTGCCTCTGGCAACCATCAATCTATTATCTGTATCTATGATCTCATGTTTTGTTGTTTTGTTGTTTTTTATATTCCACATTTGAGATCATGTAGTATTTGTCTTTCTCTGACTTACTTCACCTAGCATAATGCCCTTAAGGTCCATCCATGTTGTTGCAAAAGGCAAGATGTTATCCCTTTTTATGCCTGCATAATATATATACATATATATATATAAAATCACAATTTCTTTTGTTCTTTTTTAAATGAAATAATTAATTTTCTTCATGTAAGTTGTTTTCTTTCTTTAACTTATTTTTAAATAGTTAACATACAGTGCAATAATGGCTTTAGGAGTAGAATTCAGTGATTTGTTATTTACCTACAACACCCAGTGCTCATCACAACAAGTGCCCTCCTAAATACCCCTCACCCATCTAGCCCGTCCCCCACCCACCTCCCTCCATCAACCCTCAGTTTGTTCTCTATCATTAAGAAATCTCTTGAGGTTTGTTTCCTTTTATTTCTTTTTATTGTCTGATTGCTCTGTCTAGGACTTCTAGTACTATGTTGAATAAATGTGGTGAGAATTATCTTGTTCCTGCTGGTCATAATATTTTATTAAATATTTTGGGTATTTTAGCTCAGTTTAGGTCCTTTATGTACTTTTCAAATAAAATTTAAATATATTTTTATTTTTATTATTTATATCTAAAATACAGTTAAATTAAATTATCAATAATTATTTCTTAATACTCTTCAACAAATAAAATTAATTGAGGAGGACTATTTAATAATATTATCCTTCCAGAATGTATCATCTCAACATATGGATACTATATTTTGTTTTGTGCCTAATTAACTTTCTGTCCTCACAGCAATATAGTTTTAATGAATTCTATCATTTTAAAAGTGAGAAACAATTATATTCTGTCTTTCCGCTAAGTGGAAGAGTAGACTAAGTAACTCTTCTAACCCTAGAATGAAAGGCTGCTGAATATAATATGTATGAAAATATGTAAACACAGTTACATATATATTTTATTTAAATTGATACACTGTCTTTATCCCTCAACTTAATTATATATATACCCTATAGTTAAGAATGATTGTTCTGAGTTGTATTTTTTGACCCAGCTACAGCCAAAAGGCCTTAGAAGTAATCTGCTAATGCTGAGAGGAACAGAAGACCCTAATCTGTTTTATCCTGAAGATACTTTGACAAGATTTTGTTGATACAATGGGAAAGAAGAGGAAAAAAAGAGGAAATAGGAATTCCATTTTAATAGCCATAAAGCAAATTCTATGGTGTGTAACTATTTGCTAAATGAAGGGGAAAGTTGCATGGTAAATACAAAGATGATGATTCTATGGCACTATTTGGCTTTGCTTTGTTTATTAGATGCATTTCTAATAGATTATTAGATTATTAGAAGAATAGAAGATTACTGACAATGGGAATTTATGTGTAATACTTTAAACAAAAGTCACATTCATCTATAATGTTCTTAGTAAAATGTTAAAGTTTTCTTTCTGTGCATTTTACAGGTTTAGCAATGTTTTTTTAACTTTTTGTTTTACAATAATTATAGTTTCATAAAAATATGTATAGTGAAGTCTCATACACCCTTTACTCGGCCTCCTCAGTATTAACTATTTGCATAACTATGGTACAAATTCAAACGCAGAAAAATGACATTGGTAAAATCCACTGGGCATGTTGTGTGTATGTAGCTCTATGAACTTATCATATATGTAGCTTAATGTAACTACCACCACAAAAGATATGTAACTGTATTATCATCAAAGCTCTCTCCTGCTCTTGATAGCCATATCCCTCTCTCCCAAATCCCAGTTCTGGCTACCACTTATCTATTCCTCATGTCTATAATTATGTTATTTGAAGAATGTTATATAAGTGAATCACACAGTATGCATCCTTTTGAGATTGGCTTAAAGTTCATCTAAGCTATGTGTACCAATAATTTGTTCCTTTTTGTTGCTGAGTAGTATTTCAACACTTTCAATATACTTCTATTTTAAATATCACCATCTGCTGCCTTTAATGTACCCCCATGTCCAAAATTCATATGTTGAAATTCTAACCTCAGTACCTCAGAACATAACTGTATTTGGAGACAGGGCCTTCAAAGTAGTAATGAAGGTAAAATGAAGACAGGCTTCAGAATGAAATCAACCTTGCTGACACCTTATTCTTGGACTTCTAAACTCTAGAACTATAAGAAAATAAATTTCTGTTGTTTAAGCCACATAGTCTATGGAATTTGTTAAAGCAGAGCTAGCCAACAAATACAATGTGTAAGAATAGTTTTATCTTTCTTTACAAATTGTCTCATATATATATGCTCATATATAACAATACTTTCTGCTATGAGACAATTCTTTGTGTGTCCACATAATTTATGAATGCTTTTCAAAGGGAGTTTTTAAAATCTCTGATGCTTTTACTCTGTCATGTACTGCAATAAATCATGTTTATGAGGGAGTTAAAGAAAATACACACTTATAAAAATCATAGGGGTATTCCTGCCTAACTATGTTGCAGTAAAAATCTATAGTGTTATGATGGGGGCATTTAACTGAAAGCAATTGGAGTTTTAAAAAAAGACAATGTAACTACTTTTTTACAAATGGTACCTAAAAACAGCATTTGGATTCATTTCTGGATATTTTTTTTGCTCTTTTCAGAGTGGATAATAGTTAAACATGTTAGCTGTGATGTTTTTACAACATAGATATGCATTATAATTAATATTAATTCTTACTATTTGCTTTATTTGATATGGAAAAGAAATGGCACCATAAGTGGAATAACTAAATTTCAATTCACTTAGCAACATTTTTTTTATCTGATGTTTGTTGGTAAGTTAATATGGACTTGCTCATTAAGATGTATTTGTATAGGATTATATCAAAAGCAATGCATAAACATTAGAGAGAAGCCTTATATCTAATTAACCTTACTAATAAGTTACTAAATAACCTTACTAATAAAAAAATATCTTTCTGGACCTTAGGAAGCAGTATGAACAACAACCAGAAAATCACTTCTTTGGCATATAGAGTATACAACCGCACCTCAGTGAATATAATTCCACCAGGGATATTATGCATCGAAAAGGAATTATGGGTTTGTTTAGAGAGAACAGCAGTGGAACTTACCATCTTGATCCGTGGTCACTGTAATAGCTGTGAATGGCTTGGGAGAAAAACTCAACTCAGAAACTCCATTCATGGCTTCTATTTCAAAGGTGTAATTCACGTGAGACACAAAGTCAAGTACTATCACGGAATTGTTGATGAGGCCAGAATGTCTTGGGATGAAGCGGAGTCCTCCACCACAGTCCTCACACTGGCTGGTATCTAAGCCACATTTCTTACAGATTACACTGTATGTGAGATCTTTTCTCCCTCCTGTGTCACTTGGTGGGCTCCATTCCAAAATAAGGGCTGTTTCATTGATGTTAAAAGCCACATTCCTAGGAGCTGAAGGTGGCCCTAGAGAAAAGCAATTAAAAAACAAATGTACATGTGTAGGACAATGAATGAGAGGGTGCTACCTTGAAAACTTAATCAATAAACATTTGTCTTTTATATTAGTTTGAGCTCTTTCTTCTAATGGGAACCATAAAGAAATATGGTGAAAAACATCTGATTGAGTCTAGTAAGAAAGGAATCTTAGGGGTGAAGATGGTCTATATCTTAACTTTTTGATATATGAATATGAGTATTTAATATCAAAGCCAAAGATCTCCAAAATATATGGTAATTATACTTTGAAAATTTGTTTACTGAAATATATAATAAGCAAACATTATTTAAATTATGTGATGATTTTAATTACATCTTAATAATTATATCACCATTTTCAAAGTTTGAAAAATAATAACATACATATACAAAACATACTGTCTTCAGTCTTTCAGTCTTCATACTATACTCAGTATATAGATAAAACTCCCACTTATCACCTTTGACAATCCCTAAGGGTCTATTTCTTGTAGGTTGAGAAAAAAATTATAGGTTTTAGGTAGACAGAGTTTGGAAGAAGAGGAAGAGAAAGAGAAGCTGGAAGCAGCAGAAAGGCTTTTACTAAGGCCTTGCCAATTTCATAGAATAAAAGTATTATATGGATGGGATAAAGGAGGGTATACATAAGATATGGTGATTAGACTCTTTTATCTCTATTTTTCCATATGGATCACACTGCATAGAGTACTTCATATCCTTTAACAACTCCAGTCTTTTCTTAAAATTGTGTCAATAAACTTTTACACTTATGTGAGTACTTCAAACCTCAGTTTGGTATTATTCATTGTACAAACATTAACCAATGGTCTGTTCAGTGTCAGGCACCACACTATATGTGAAATAATACAGAATCCTTTATCTAAGAGACTATGCTTTTTATAAATACTTTAAAAATAATTCATTGAATAAGTAACTAATGAAATAACATTCCTGCCATTCTTTAGAAAAAAATTAGCTTAAAGGAAATCTAAAACAATTCCTCAAATTTATGCTATCTAGAAAATTTGCTTAGATGATGGGAGGGAATTATCTACAACATTCTTTCCACAGGAAGAGATTAAAGTTTTGGGATAGGCTCCTTTTGGATTTCAAGATACAGTGATTACTCATGAAATAAATATTTTTAAGTGACTACTATGTGTCCTAGACACTCTGCTAGATCTTGGACTTACAGTGTGAATGTAATAGACATAATTATGATTTTGTTATTTACATTTTAGTTGAATGGCAGATAAACACACATATAAACAATAATAAAATTCAAGTTATAATAAGTGCAATTGCAAAATCAAAAGGAAAGGAGCTGAAATACATATTATCACGAGAACTAATCTGGAGAAACATTCTGAGAAACCCTCATGGACTTAGTGAGGAAGATGTCAGAGGAGTGTGAATACTAAGGGTAGAAGGTTCTTTAGTCAAGAAAGATCTTAAAATAGTCATGGAACTGGAAGATTCCAGTGTGGCTAGAATGCAAAAGGAAAAAGCAAGAAGTGAGGGTTTTTTTTTTTTTTTTAAGTTTACTTTTGGTTTTGCTTTTTGTTTGTTTTTGTGTGTGTGTATGTTTTTAAGAGGGAGAGAGAACCAGTGGGGGAGGGGCAGAGGGAGAAGGGATAGAGGATCCAAAGCAGGCTCTGTGCTGACAGCAGACAGCCTGACGTGGGGCTTGAACTCATGAACCATAAGATCATGATCTGAGCCAAAATCAGATGCTTAACTGACTGAGACACCCAGTAGACCCAAGAAGTGAGTTTAAAGGAAGAAGAAAGGGTTGGATAACACAAAACTTCTAGGGTCATTAGAATGAGTCTGGACATTTTTCTATGTACAACAGAAACAGACTTACAGATTTAACATATGGAGGTAATGTGTTTTAAAAAAAAACATTGCAGTTGCAGTGTAGGGAATAGTCTTAATAAGCATAGGGAACTTATTAGTAAGATCTGTCATACAGTGTTACAGTAGCATAACATTACTCATAAATGTGCATGACTATGTATTGGGTTTGAGATATTAAGAATTGTTATTTTATATTTTCCTTTTTGTTTTTGTTGGATCCTGATAAAAGCAACCTGATGGGTAGGGGCCTCAGCCATCTGTTTGTATATCACCTAAAGTCTGACCTAGAAATGGGGTGGTTAGCTTTTCTAAAAGGTTTCTGCATACTTTGCTTTATGCCATTTCATGTTCCAGAAAGTTGCAGAAACGTCTGTCTTCAGAAAGTAAAATATGGAAGGCATTACAAACTACAGCAAAGGGACACATGTTGCTTTTTGCCTCCAACCTAGACTTAGGCCTGGGAGATAAAGATTCATTATCATTATCATAAAAAGGTCTTCCTACAGAATGACATATTCATATTGTTGCTCTTTTCTCTTATTTATAATGGAAAACATGAATTATTATTCACTTATATTTTCATGAATAGGAAGAATATTATCAATTATGTTATGGGTGTCTGCAAGTATATAACTGTCCGCCTGGAGATACTTTTAAAAAAAGGCAGACACCCTTCTTACTCAAGGGCCCTCATACCAATTTGCATGACGATTAAATAGCTTTTTAATTGCTGTTAAATTATGCCAGCTAAACTGTGATTTCATGCAAATATTAAGCTGTAATGACATGCAGTGAATCATTTACTAAGATTTAAAACTTGGAACAAAGAGAGACAATTAATTCTAATCCTCAGATTCAAGCAAATTATCTGTCACTGGGCTTTTATGAATGTGGCCTGATTGCTTTGTTATCATTTATAAATTATACAAAGATTATGTGACATTGGAAAAAAAAACCTGGTGCAATAACCCTTTTGGAGACATCTGTATAGAAAACTCTCAGGGATTTCCTTATGTTGATTTTTTTTCTTTAAAGGAAACAAGTAATTCACATAGAAGAAGAGACTTCACCCTCCAGATTGACTTCATAAGAGAAGGACAATTATTCTGATTTGCAACTAGCTGTTTTTCAAGTCCATCGTATATTAAACCTTACAATAAAACTACAATTTTACTTCTACTAGTGTATCTAGCAAGTATACTTTTAATCTTTTGCTTCAGTTTGCGTTCCCCTGTGACACGTTTAAAGAATAAAGGAATGTTATTTTAATAGCAACTTATGAAACAGCCTGGTGGCAGTACGATCTATTCCCAGAAAAGCATCTGAGTCTACAGCCCCCATCTTCCTCTCAGTAGCAAAGGCCAGGTGGGCTATGATTTTTGTTTTATTTAATTTTATGTAAAAAAATTTAAAAATAGAACTGTATTTCCCAAAATATATCCTTTCAATATTTCTAGCCCCATGAGATGTCACACAAAAAATGAGCTTAGTTCTCAAATTAAGACTCCTCTGGTAGACTGATACTGAAACGAAAAATAATACAATTTGCTTTGCTTTGTTGAATCCAACATTTCTAAACATTTATTCATAGAACCTTATTTTCCAAGAAGCATCTACAGGAATACTAGCATTCTGCAGAACACTCTTAAAGGCTGACACTGAAGGACAGCAAACTTAAGGATCATATTTCAGTTACTACATCAATTGCTATAGATTTAGACACGATGATTATAATTGTAGAAATACAGTAACTCACAGATAAACATGGATCTTTTTCAAACTGACTCAAGACTAATTAGTCATCTACGATATAGCTAGTTGTGTTTGCAGATGCATTTTCTAACCTTAAGAACAATGAAAATTTGATCCAAATAACTGAGAGTATCAAGTTATGGAAGCCTATTGTTTACTAAACTATATTTTATGAGTTAAGTTACTCCTTGGCAATAATTTAAATGTGTTTGTTAATTTTATGACTATCATGAATATAGTAGTATATGTCTCCAGAGGCAAGGGAAACAAAAGCAAACGGGACTATTGGGACTCCATAAAGATAAAAAGCTCCTACACAGTGAAGGAAACAATCAACAAAACTAAGAAGCAACCTATGGAATGGGGGAAGATATTTTCAAATGACATATATGATAAAGGGTTACTATCCAAAATCTATAAAGAATTCATCAAACTCAACACCCAAAAAACAAATAATCCAGTGAAGAAATGGGAAGAAGACATGAATAGACACTTTTCCAAAGAAGGCGTTCAATGGCTAACAGATACATGAGAAGATGCTCAATATCACTCATCATCAGGGAAATACAAACCAAAACTACAATGAAATGTCACCTCACACCTGTTAGAATGGCTAAAATTAACACAGGAAGTAAGTGTTGGCAAGGATGTGGAAAAAGGGAACCAACCCTCTTACATTATATTGGTGGGAATGCAAACTGGTGCAGCCACCCTATAATTTAATATGGAGGTTCCTCAAAAAGTTAAAAATAGAACTACCCTACAAACCAGAAACTACACTACTAGGTATTTATCCAAAGGATACAAAAATACTGATTCAAAGGGACACATGCACCCCAATGTTTATAGCAGGAGTATCAACACTAGCCAAATTCTGGAAAGAGCCCAAATGTCCACTGACTGTGGAATGCATGAAGATATATATATATATATATATATATATATATATATATATATATGTATACATATATGTATATACGTATATATATATACGTATATATATGTATACGTATATACATATTTATATACACACACATAAATATACACACACATATATAAATACATAAATATAGATAGATATAGATATAATAAATATATATCACATATATATACTCACACATACACAATGAAATATTACTCAGCCATCAAAAAGAATAAAATCTTGCAATTTGCAATGATTAGGATGGAGCTAGAGCATATTATGCTAAGTGAAATAAGTCAGTCAGAGAAAGACAAATATATGATTTCACTCATATGTGGAATTTAGGAAACAAAACAGATGACTGGGGGGAAAAAGAGACAGAAAAATCATAAAACAGACTCTTAACTATAGAGAACAAGCTGAGGGTTTCTGGGGGGTGGGGTGGGAGGATGGG